AAAAAAAAAAAAAGCTTTTCTAAATTAACTTAATAAAAAAACTAAACTAAATATAATCACTTTACCATTACATACAAAACTGAACTATTTTAATAGCTGAAACAGTAGTAAGCTGTTTTGGGAGAAGGGGAAAAAAAGACTGGCTCAGGTCGGACTGGGGCCAAGAATTCTGAAGAGTTGTCGGACAAGGGCCTGAGCATCTCGGTCCAGAGCCGGGCTAGGGCCTATATGTGAGGCCCGTGCAGGGCTCTAAACACTAGAGATGTAATGATGCACCCCGAGCTGAAAATCGATAAACATATGTGACGATTCAAGTCGAGTGAGATGCTAAATGAATCACGAGACTATGGGGGGTTAGGGGTTTGAGTGAATGTGTCTCTGAGGGGAACTGATGGTATTTTCTGTTCATTTTGCCACTGTATTATGCTAATTAAAGTAGTGTTTATAAGCGCAGCTGCTGCTCCATAAGTGCCACCTGCTGGCAGAGAGTGAATATATGTCTCAATGAGACCGTCTGCTGTTTTTGTTTCGTGCAGATGTTTTATGTAGTGTGGTTTCACAAAACTAAAGTCAGACATTCTGTTTTTCCTTCAAATTTCGAAATTATGCTACTAATTTAAATCAAAAACTGCTCATGCTGCATGTTTGCAGCATCTTTGTTAGGATCGTGATTCAAATGCAGTGGTTGCATTAAATGGAAAGAGCTCAGGCAAAGCCTTAGTTTGTTTATGAAGAGATTTATTTTATTTGCCTCATTTAGTTATTTGATTTGCCATTTAAAAATGTCAATTTTGTTATTTGACGTATTTCAATTTCACAAAGAAATGTGCAGCATTTTGTCTGGGAAATAATAAAAGGACACCTTTTTATTTGTAATTTGTCTTAAATCTTATTTTCTTAAAAAAAATGTGAGAAAATGGTATCGTGAAGTCTGTATCATGACTCATGTCACATTGTGAGTTGAGTGAATCGTTACATCCCTAAAATAAATTGATAGGATTCAAGAAAATATCAGCAATTTTAGCTGTAAAACCAGATAAATTTGGTTGATAAAATGACACCACAGTGACGATTTCAGTAGTGCAGCAGTTTACTTTATTTCTGACATACATGTATCTTGTTTACTATTTACGTGCTTATTTGTTTAAAATATGCAAAGCAAAGTCAGATACAGATATAGTTTGTGTATTTCATGTTGTTCAGGTGGAGTGGACTGGTTGTAAAATTGCCCATTTGTTTTTAGACAGCATTTACATAAAATAGAATGACTTTAAGTGGACTTTCAAGTGCTTTACTATACAAACAGCTAAAGTACAGCACAATAATTGAACCATTAGTGCTAAAAATGTCAAAAGACACAACAAAATACTATAAAGGTATTATGAAAAGCAGTCCATATTATTTATGCACTATATAAGCCTTCTGAAGCCATATAAGAACTACTTTTATGGTATTTAAAAAGCTCATTCTCAATTTGAGTAAAATAAGTAGTAAATAAATTAATTCCGATGGGATTGAATAAAACTCTAGCTGTAAAAACAAGATAAAGTTACACCAGTGACGATTGCAAGAGTGCTCCGTTCAGCTTTACGTCATTAAAGGTCATTTACATCTCTTGTTTTCTGTTTACTATGCAGAGTAATGTCTGATTGAGCTGTAGTGTGTGTGTTTGGCGTTGTTCAGGTGGAGTGGACTGGCTGTGTAACGGTGAGTCTGCGCGGGATTGCGATGCCGTGTTGGACACGTTGAGCAGCGATCAGTATCATCAGTACAACAAGCAGCAGCCGCGGAGACTGGACCCCGAGTACTGGAAGACCATCATCAGCTCCGTCTACGTGGTCTTTGTCTTCGGCTTCACGTCCTTCGTCATGGTGATCGTCCACGAGCGAGTGCCAGACATGAGGACGTACCCGCCGCTGCCTGACATCTTCCTGGACAGGTGAGCCTTTGCTGAGGTGATCTGATCAAAAAATACAGTAATATTGTGAAATCTTATTTCAATTTGAATGAGCTGTTTTCTATGTGAATATCTGATAAACTGTAATTTAATCAAAGCTGTATTTTCAGCATCATTACTCCAGTCTTCAGTGTCACATGATCTTCAGAAATCAGTATAATATGCTAAATTGCTGCTCAACAAACATTTCTGATTATTACCAATGTTGAAAACAGTTGTGCTGCACAATATTTTTGTGGAAACCGTGATACTTTTTATTTTTCAGGATTCACAGATGAACAGAAAGTTCAAAATAACAGCGTTTATTTGAAATAGAAATCTTTTGTAACATTATAAATGTCTTTACTGTGGGGGTGTGCGATATATATCGTCTACGATTAATATCGTAATTGTTGTTTTAACGATTTTTACTTTTTATTACGCATTTAGAGTGCGTTCTTTCACTGCATGATTCAGTCTGTGAAAATGCATTTAGAACGATCATAAAATTCAAGATACGGGGGCAGAAAATGTATATATTTATATAATTTCATGTAGTTAATGTCACACGAAAAGTGCCGTTTGTTTCCTCCAAAGATCAGCATGATTACAAATGTGATCTTGATTTTATACAACAGTTTAATAAACAAGAAGTTAATATTAAGAGATGTACGTTTTGTACACCACATTGCCTGTTTTTGATTTCGCCAACAAAAATAATTCCATACAAAGCCGCAGCACTGTTTTGCGTCTCTGAGCAACATGACGGTGTTTTGTTTCTGAATGAATCAACCGTTTAAATGATTCGGTTCAATCGCAATGACTCACTTATTAACAGTGTAATGTCACACGAAAAGTGCCGTTTGTTTCCTCCAAAGATCAGCATGATTACAAATGTGATCTTGATTTTATACAACAGTTTAATAAACAAGAAGTTAATATTAAGAGATGTACGTTTTGTACACCACATTGCCTGTTTTTGATTTCGCCAACAAAAATAATTCCATACAAAGCCGCAGCACTGTTTTGCGTCTCTGAGCAACATGACGGTGTTTTGTTTCTGAATGAATCAACCGTTTCAATGATTCGGTTCAATCGCAATGACTCACTTATTAACAGTGACTTGCTGCCACCTACTGGTTTTAATTTCACATTTAAAGTATCTTTTCATATATCAGTATTCACCGTTTTATGTTTAAAATATCAAAACATTATTTATGCATTTGTAACCGCAGGTTAAATCATTCCATGTCCCTCTGCGCTGCATTAAACAGTGTGTAAACATCGAAATGCCACTTCAGATGCAGCTTCTGTGTTTCCTCTGCATTGCAAAGATGAATTTTGTTGCTACTGATTTCATTTGCTTGGTAACAGACCAAATGTCTTATTATTCTAACTGACTGATTAAATCTAAGAATTTGACTCAAACGATGATGCACACTTTTAGAAAAAATGGCTTTATAAAGGTAAAAATCAATTTAAACTTATTGGAAAAGATTAATTTCTGTCACTGCTTTGAACTGACACGCAGAATATGAAGATGAGTGATTTTAATGCATCCTTGCTGAATTACAGTATTAATTTCTTTACTGACTGAAAGATCACATTTTCCAAAAGTTGCGTAAAGTCAGCTAGCAGTTAGTGATTTAAGCTAGCATTTTCCATTTTTTGTGAGCAATGTGCATCAGATGGTTGTGAACTGCACCAATTTAAGACATTATAGGCAATTTTCTAATGCAAAGCGTGTTTTAAAAGGCAGGCTAAATAATTATTTCGCTTTCTTTAATCTCTAAATGCATCGCAAAACATAATCTTCCATCTTGAAATAAGAAAAATGCACTTGGTCTTGATAAAACAATAATAATTGCTAATGAATTATGAATGCTTTCTCCAATATTGTCGAGGTTTTGTGCTTCACACGACAAGCACTATTTGTATAACATGCATGAGATTCAAGGCTGTGTTTCCCAAAAGAGTCATAAGTCAATTTGCACCACTGTTCTGTACGATCAGCTCACGATGCTTCTGGAAACGCTGCCCAGATCAGATCATTCACTGATAGTTTCACGTTTCCATTAGGATTCTGCTTTGGAAGCTGCTTTAATGTGGCTTAAACATTATTTAAGTTCTACTTGAACGTAAATGTGTTTTTTCTAATTCAGGGTTTCCCAAACTGGGGTTGGTGAGTGGATGAAAAGCTAATAATTAATTAAAACATTCACATTTAACATTTAAATAATTATTTTTTCTCTTTTGTTAGTTTTGACTGCTTTTGTTGTCCTCATTTGTAAGTCGCTTTAAATAAAAGTGTCTGCTAAATGACTAAATAAATAAATAAATAACATTTAAAAAAATAAAATCAAAATAATAAAAAATGTTTTTGCTTATCTGCATGTCGTGACCATTAACTGTCATTAGAGAACTGCATATATGTGAAAGTACCGTTAGATGATTAACTTTTAAATATCTTTTTAGATTTTTTAAATTTTAATACCTTTTTAAAGTTTTTAAAATTTATCTTAAAATTTCAGGTGCGACTACAAGTGAATATTTTAGGTTTGGGAATGCTTGCTCTAATTGCATTAAAATCACATTTTTAAGCCATTTCAGACAAAATACATCAATGTCGAGATGAAAATCATCAATAGATATATAAAGATGCCAGATTTGAGTTGAGCCTAACACCCCGGACTAAAAGACTAAAACTCATTAGACATAATTTCTTTGAGGTTTCTGGCAGCATAAATGAAACTAAACCGCTCTGATGATGAGTTGCACCCTTTAGATATCTGTAAGCTTTGAGGTTTGCTGTTGATGATGACTTTCTCCATCACGCACCACAGGACATCGTTAGAGTTCACAGCTGAAGATGAGCACGAAAACACAAAATAACATCATTATCACCATCTGTTTGGAGGAGGATTATGTTTTGCTCTTTTTTTAACCTTTCGCCTGGTTCTCTTCTCCCTCCAGTGTACCCAGAATCCCCTGGGCTTTTGCGATGGCTGAGGCCTGTGGCGTGATCCTCTGTTCTGTTTGGCTGCTAGTTCTGCTGCTTCACAAACACAGGTAACAAACACACACATGCACATATGTATAATATAGTGTATGCATATAATTATAAAGCTGTTCCATGTAATTGTTTTGCATAAAATACTCAAATCCTGCATAGAGACATCAAGACAATGAACAAACATTTTAATACGGCTTTAATTTTTTTTCTGTACATTACAATGTGTCCTGTATAATTTTTTTCTGGGCAAAAATAATGGCTATCATGCATTTTTACCATGATTTACAAAAAATATATAATTCAGTGTAACAATAGTTCATATAACTAAAAAATCTTGTCTGGCATCTTTAGAACAAGAATCATTAGATGACATTAAAAAACGGCCCCCTAAACGAATTAATAGTCATTTAAAATCTTTGCCACTGTCCTTCAAACCATCACGTTTTGTGCACATTTGTTAGCAAGACATTTTTAATCAGTTAAAATATAATACAATTTAGTATGATAAATTTTTCTTTTATATATATACTCAGGTCAGAATAAGTGTTGTTTCATTTTTACATAAATACATCTGTTACGCTGAATGATTATTTCACCCATATTTTGACATTTTATTTTATTTGAAACATTAAAGTGGACGCTTCACTTGCATTTAATATGCTTTCTGTGTATGCAAATTCACTTTTGTAAATTTAATTTGATGCAAACTCCATAATCGTCTCGTCTTTGACGATTTTCAGGAGTCCTAAAATTATTATTTGTCTTCTTCGGCATAAATATCACTTGGTGTGTGTTTTTTCTTGTCCAAATAAAACATTTCCAACAGTAGCGCAGTAGAAAGTCATTTCAGAGGTGAAGCAAGTTATTACATTTCAATGAAAGATTATGAAGACAAACATTTTTCTCCTGTAGAATAATATTATATATATATATATATATATATATATTAGTATTGATTATAAATATAGTCTTGAATGATGTCAGAGGAGCATCCCTTCACCTGAAGCTCATAGGTCAAAGGTCAGGTCATGAAAGAGGCTTTTGTCCCTGTGTTTCTGTCAGGTCGATCCTGTTGAGGCGGTTGTGTAATCTCATGGGGACGGTCTTTATGCTGCGCTGTATCACTATGTTTGTGACATCTCTCTCTGTCCCGGGACAACACCTGCAGTGCACTGGGAAGGTATGGACATCACACACACACACACACACACACACACGCACACACACTGATCCAAAACCTAGTGAACTACATGAAGACTCTTCTGAAAGTGAGGCTGCATAAGGATCAGATTGCATTGTGTGTGTCCTTCACTGAGAAGCAGATCACAGCCAGCGTTTCATTCTCCAGTGAACATTCCTATGGCTCATCACAGCTTTTTTTTGGTCCTAAAATATTTTCTTCTATTCCTCTTGAGATTTTTATTAATATGATTTAATAATTAAAAAAAAAAAGACTATTTTAATAATTTTGCAACACTTATGCATGTTCACGGTTTGCAGATGTTGCTTAATGATCACCCGACAACTTTTTTAAGTGTTTTATTTTTGTTGTGTTTATTGTAAGATTATTTATTTTAATTTTAAATATTTATCATTTAATTAATTATTATCTTTCATATATTTATGTATTTATTTGTTAAGATTTTTTTGCCTTGACATTGTGTGTGTGTGTGTGTGTATATATATATATATAATTACGTTTTTTTTTTTTTCATTATGACATTGTTTTCATTACACATTTCCCCCAAATTTTTTATTATTAACATTATTTTGTAATTCTAGATGTTCTCAATGGTTACTCCAATGAGATAAAAAATTCATACGGCACTAAAATGATTTTTATTTTAAACGACTTAATAAAACCAAAACAACCACAGTTACCATAATGTTTAAACACATGACAGTTTTATTTACAGTAATATTTCTTATTTTTTATTCTTGTGATTTTTAGAATGAAGTACAATACTTTTTTAGAAAGAAGATACGGAATTGTTTGTTCAATATCAAAAAGTATAGATAAAAATGATTTGAGTTCATTAAAAATGTACTAATTTTCTCAAATATTTTATACTCATTAGGCTACAATATATGTGTGCAAAAAATTATATATATGCATATAATTGCCATAATGTTTAATATTTTACGGTTTTATTTAGTATAATATTTCTTATTTTTTTCTTGTGATTTTTAAAATAAAGTATGATCTAGACAAAATTCGAAAAATGTAGATTAAACATATTGTTTATTTCATTCATACCAAAAAGTATAAATCAATATAATTTTGAGTTAATTAAAAACACAGTTTTTCTCAGATATGTGTCCCTGGAGCACAAAAGCAGTGTTAAGTCGCTGGGGGATATTTGTAGCAATAGCCAACAATACATTGTATGGGTCACAATTATTGATTTTTCTTTTATAAAGATCCATGAAGATATTTTGTAAATTTCCTGCCGCAAATATTTCAAAACTTAATTTTTGATTAGTAATATGCATTGCTAAGAGCTTCATTTGGACAACTTTAAAGGAGATTTTTTTCAATATTTAGATTTTTTTGCACCCTCAGATTCCAGATTTTTCCAGATTCAAATAGTTGTATCTCGACCAAATATTGTCCTATCCTAACAAACCATAACGCACAAATAAAATATGCAGGGGGTAATACCACTAACTTGAGAAACCATGTCAGGTTCAGTTCTTGTATTTATTGACAAACTTGTATACATGTGAAGTAAAATAGAAAATTGAGGATGCAGTGCATTGTGATATCGTATTGAACTGAATCAATGACATGTTAATCGTAATCGAACCGAACCGTGAGACCAGTGTAGGTCCCTAATAGCTACTGATTGCTGTGGTGATTGAGATCCTCCTCTCCGTCTGCAGACACGCCGCGCAGCTGGAACTTCATCCACACGCTCTCCTGGGTCCTCAACCTGTTCGGCATCTTCTTCATCCTGGCAGCACACGAGCACTACTCCATCGATGTCTTCATCGCCTTCTACATCACCACCAGACTCTTCCTGTACTACCACACGCTGGCCAACACTCGCGCCTACCAGCAGAGCCGCCGCGCACGCATCTGGTTCCCCATGTTCTCCTTCTTCGAGTGCAATGTTAACGGACCTGTTCCAAATGAGTACTGCTGGCCATTCGCTCGTCCCGGCATCCTCAGACGCCTCATCGGCTGATTCTCCACAGACGCTGCTGATTCTTGTGTTGCCATGATGAAGAGGAGGCCAAAACCTCTCGATCAACACACTCTCTCTCTCTCACACACACACACACACACACTCACACACACTCTCT